CATGCAAAATGCACTTTTGTACGTCTTTTATACATGAATATGTGTCCCCGGTGTTCCAGGGAACTCACCAAGTGTCAGAAAACACAACCCTCTCTATTTTCCTCCATACCCAAATCTCTTAAAAAGGGGCTGCAATGGATCTGATACAGACTGATCCAGATTTGAACACTTCTATGACGTCACAGAAGTGGCGCTACGGCTATTGGGCCAACTCCACCAATCGGGAGGAGACAGCCACGGACATTGCCGTTCGAAAGCGCTGGAGAAGCTGTAGTACATATGCCAGGCCTGTAGATGGTGCTGTTCTCACAGAATCAGCCCATTCAAAGACAGTGTTAAATTGGGCGAAATGAGGAATGGCTAAAATGCATGATCTGTTTGGTATTTTGAAAAAGAAAAAATGCTTTTAAATTTTTTTTTTTAGAATATCTTAGGACCTCAGAGTGGGCCTATAGGGCCCTGATGGCTCGCCACTGCTTTAAATGAGTAGGTCCTTTTTAATATGTAGAATGCACTAATGGCTGAATCCAGAGTTATTTTCCCACCTCCCTTCATGTGGCAACACATGGTACTGGGAGGCGGGGTTTTAGATAAAAGCTGCATGATCCAGTGATTTTTGTACTGAAAAGTGGAGATGAATATCAAAATAAAAAATGACAGGTGACATGACTCTTTGCTTGTCTAAATGTTTATAGGGTTTAACAAGGCTATCTTTCCAGCCGTACAGCTTTAAACAGCTTCAGCAGATCATCACGTCCCGGCTGAACAAGGTGAAGGCCTTTGAGGAGGACGCACTACAGCTTGTGTCCAGGAAGGTACACAATCTTTCTCACCGTTTCACCTCACCTGAACTCATTCACAGGTCCGTTCACTAAAATTCTCCTCTCCTTTTGCAGGTGGCTGCTCTGTCGGGCGATGCTCGCCGATGTTTGGACATTTGCCGCAGGGCGACAGAGATTTGCGGACACTCTGCTGCAGACACTTCTTCCACAGGATTGGTGGGAATGAGTCATGTGATGGATGCGCTGAATGAGATGTTTTCCTCTGCTTACATCACCGCCATCAAGTGAGATTCTCCCTTCAGTCACATTTATAACTTGTTGTGAATTCTAGAGGAGCGATGAGATAAAGGGACTATTGTGTGCCTTTAGGTGTGTGTCGGTGCAGGAGCAGCTCTTCCTCAGAGCCATCATTGCAGAGTTTCGGCGGCTGGGATTGGAGGAGGCCACTTTCCAACAGGTAAAAATCTAACAAATGGGTAAGAGTTCAAAACAACAACCTTTACATCCTACACTGATGTCTGAGATTTAGAAAATAAGCAGTTAAAGCCTCCATATAGCCTCTATATCAGCATGTTTCTTTATTACAATTGAAAGTTTGACATTTTGAAACTGTAAAATGCTGAATTTATGTTGTTACACTCCCATTTTTGTACTAATTTGAAGAAACATTTAACCCTTGTATGGTGTTCATATTTTTGTTACTCAGCCAGTGTTCGTGGGTCTGGTGGACCCGCTGCCTTTTTGGGCTTCAATTCAACACAATCAAACTATTTTATGTTAAAATACTCGACAGCTGTCAGGGCTCGACATTATAAATGTCCCTCTGGCCCGAAAGCACTATTTAGACACCCCGAGACAGTTTAACGTACTTTCCACTTGCCCGTTCGGGCCACTAAAAATATTGTTTTTTAGCCACACTGTAACGCTTCCTAAAACCCTTTTATAATCTATCGATTAGATTTATGATTTGAAAATTATAAAAGTATGGTAACAAAACGTGGAGATTATCCGGCTGAACAAAACGTGCATTTATCAAACAGGTTTGTTTTCCACAGACCTTATTTCCAGCTATTTTCCAAAACCCTGTGGAGAAATCCCATTGCTTTTTGTCGAGGGAACCAGCGTCTTACTTCCTGGTTTTAGGATGCGTCACTGCACCTCTCAATATGATGCCAATGTAAACAAGGTCTTCTGTCGGCTCTGTACATCAATGCCGACCTATGCTGACAAGTAAGTGAAGAATAGAAAATATAAAGGTATTGGCTATAGGGACATGTGCCAGCAGTTTAGGATAATGAAGGTTGTAATCTAATCTATTACATAGCCATTACATTTTTAACTCCTAATGACAGGAAGGCAGAAAGCGCATTCTACAAATAATAATAATAGCAGACATTTTTGATCAATGACCACAATATCATTATTTTAATAAACCAAATATGAACAATTGAAGAAAATGAGGAAGAACTGATGATTCAAATGTTGTAGTACAAGTAGTAATGTCGTTAGTGCATAAATTACTATTGCAACAAATGTGTTAATTATTTTCATTATAAGTCGATTTCTTTTGGACGAATGCTCCGGGCCAGTGGTTACAATGGTGGGGCCAGTGATAATACAATTCCACCGGCCCGGAGG